CCAAGTGACTGGTGTAGGCAGGGTGGTCTGCTTGAGCTCCCACCAACGACCTTACTTCCCCCCACCAGCATGTAGGAAGCAAAGGTAACCCTCTGCTTCGGGAACCACTCCTTAATGTCTTGAAGGTCGTCTCTATCTCTGCAATCGAAAGAGGACTCCCCTGCAAAAGTGGAAGGGTTCAGTCTCCTGTACCTCTCTACGTAGTCTGGGTCAATCAGGGAAGGAGCTGGGTTCCCGTGGAAGAGGGACTGGGCCAGGCTGAGGATAGACTGGAGGGCCCTGTGGTGGCACCTGCTGATATAATGGGGGTACTGGATTGTACTGTGGCGGTGCCGGGCAGTACTGTGGTTGAGGCACCAGATTATACTGTGGCGGTGGTGCTGGGGGGTACTGTGGAGGAGCAGGCTCGTGCCAGGGTGGCTCGGGATCCGCTCGCTATGGCGGTGGCTCAACTTGTGGTAGTGGGAGAGGGTCGGGTAACTCCCTTCTCTCCTCTCAGCCTTGTTGAGCAACAATGATCCTTTCTAGCATCTCAAATATTTTGTCCACATCTTTCCGAAGCGAATCATCCCGGGCTGCTCGGTTTAGTGAGGGTCTTCCTCTCCTCATCTCTCTGCACCTATATTTCATAAGGAATGGTTGAGTAACGATTAATCGGTTGGTATTTCTCTAAATATTATTGTGTAAGGGACGAGTCCGAGGAACGCGGCTCTGATACCAACTATAACAGCCCCAAAAATTAAAAGAAAATATATATTTACTCTAAGTGCGGAAGCAAAATAAAATAGATTATGATTAACATCTCTTACACAATAATCAAAACGTATTAAAGATATGAAAAAATAAACTAACCGAAGGAAATACTATGAATGAATACTATAAGGAAAACTAATAAATCTTTAGGCTTCTAGTCGCCGTCTTCCTGTGGAACGGGCTCGGGAACCAAGTTCTCCTGATCTGAAATGGTTAAGTAAGGAATGAGTTACATTAGCCCAGTAAAGATGTCACACTATCTC